ATCCTTCCCGAGCTCATTTCCTGGTGAAGGTCAGAAGGCTTCTCTTATAGTTCAGGCTCATCCAATTCACTCATTCTCATTGGGTTCCTACAGTGATCACTGTTGAGGACCTCCTGCCTAAGTGAATCTTCAACAAATGGTAACTGCTGTTTATTTAGTAGTAGAAAAACTGGTTTACAGCATGAGATGCTGAGTCAATCCATGTAGGGATGTTTGGAAGAAAAATGCCTTTGGAGTGAGAATCACCACTTCCAAAGTAGGTATAGTGATTTGCTGAGGCTGCTGTCACAAATGGCACAGAATGGGGAGCTTAAACAAAAATCTATTTTCTCACAATTCTGGAGACTGGAAGGCAAAGGTGAAGAGATGGGCAGGGTTGGAGATATCTCTGTTCCAGAAGCCTCGCTCCTTCACTTGCAGATGGCTATCTTTTTCCTGTTCTTCATAGGTTATCTATGTCCTACACTCCTCTGCTTAAAAGGTCTCAAATCATATTGGTTTAAGGTCCAAGCATATGGCTTAATTTTACTAGGTCATCTCATTAAAGATTCTATAATCAAATAAAGTCACATTCTAAGGTGTAAACATATGATTTTTAAAAATTTTGATTTGTTCGCTTTTTCAGACAGGGTCTCGCTGTGTAGTTCAGGCTGGCCTTGAACTCACGGAAATCCTCCTGCAAATGCTGGGATTACAGGTATGCACCATCACACTGACTCAAACATACGAATTTAGGGGATGACATAACTCAAACCATAACAGTGAGATAATACTGAGAACATGTTAGAACTTTTATCATTTATTTTTCAAAAGCTAAAACTTTACTAATGTTAAATAAATGGATTTGCAGTTGACTGTATCACTTAAAAATAAACATACCATTAAGATACATGTTCAGCCAGACATGGTGGTGCATGCCTATAATCCCAGCACTGGGGAGGCTGAGGCAGGAGGATCGATGCGACTTCAAGGCCAGCCCGGGCTACAAAGTGAGCTCAAGGCTGGCCTGAACTGCATAGGGAGACCCTGTCTCAAAAAGACAGACAAAAAAAAAAATACATGTTCAAAAATTATTCCTGCTACAGGGGCATAGTTAAAGAAGTTTGAAGAACAATGATCTAAGGCTTTGTGCTACAAAAGACGACCGATCAAGGAGTTGGCAAGGAGGGAATATAACTGGGTGTTGAAATTGAGCGTGAAAGATTAAGTCTGAAAGCAAAGGAAGGGGATCGGGAGCTGGCAGGGGCTTGGGAGCTATGCTGCTGAGCACTGAAAGGGCAGGACAGCTGGGATGGTGACTGGGATGAGAACCACCAGGATGAAAAGCTTCAGCCCACAATGTGCGGCAGGTTGCATGACCCTTGCCTTCAGCGTCCCGGTTCTGTTAACTCAGGTGGGGTCAAAGACTTGCTCTGGTTGATATCATGTGTACAGAGGTGCCACCTCAGAGGAGGATCTGTTTAGCCAGTACTCAGGTCACAAACCCTCTCCCTTGATGACTCCAGAGTCACCACCCCATCACTCCCAGGGTGAGGAAGACATAGGGCAGAGCCATAGCACATCCTTGTAAGTGACAAATCAGTCTTTACTGTCATAGACCACAACTCCACAGAATATCTCAGTACCACACTCCTAGGTTCAGGAAAAGGAAGGAAACCATCATACATCCGTAGAATTTGGGTTGTGTGGGGCTGCAGATCAGAAGCCACAGACTAGTATTCAAGCACTGAATCCTAGTACTTGTTGGCATGACAACCTGTTGATCACTATGACTATTTAGCTACATTTACTAAACAAAGCTACCAGCAACTCCAGTCCCTGATTCAACAGAAGTGTTGCCTTCTGGTGCTGCGGATGACACCCTGGCCTTGCACATGCTAGGCAAGTGCTCTACCATACAACTACTCCCCCTGGCCCAGATCTGGTGTTTAAGAGACTTAACTCAGAGGAAGAAAGGTGATTGCATGCAACACTTTCCAATCTGTGACTCGCCCCTGAATTGGAAAACAAACCTGCCTCACTCCACAGAACTGCTACACAGAAATAAGCATTACTCTAAAATGGAATGGAATTTCTAGCAAAGCGAGTCAATGCATTTCTGCTGCGGTACTCCTGAAGGACACCCATTCTTGGAAGATGGGGGTTCTGGAATCAGCAGTTCTACACTGCCAGGTGCCATGCAGATTTAAATTCCTCGGCACTACAGCCTGTACATCAATTCAGCAGAATACAATACCACATCTCTGTATTGTCACATTATGTGATGTGTGTGACAACATCACATAAGCCTAGAGAATTCAAACCCTCCCATTAACAGAAACTGGTGTTTTAAAACATTCCATAAAAACCATGTCTTAGTCAACTGTGCAGTGCAAAACCCAGCTCAGAGCCTGACTCAAAGGGAATGTTATTATTATTATTTGTTTTGTTTTTTGAGATGGGGTCTCACTATGTAGTTCAAGCTGGCCATGAACTCACTATGTAGCCCAGGCTGGCCTTGAGCTCGCAGCGATCCTCCTGCCTCAACCTCCCAAGTGCTAGGATTACAGGTGTGTGCCACCACACTTGGCAAAGGGAATATTCTGATGTATGTGTGCTGAGTAAGAGAACAAATGGTTCAGGAGATAAACATACTCATCCATTTACTGGGAAGATTAAAAAATGGCAAATGCCATTATCATTTAACCACTTAACAGTTTACCCCAAGCATCACTAAGGCAGCATGTGTCTTTACATACTATCCCAAGCATCTCTCGGGCAGGTGCACTTCAACCAGTTGATTCTTGTATTGACTAAATTTGATAAACTTGTTGTTTTTATATTTCCTGTTATATTACCTTATAGAAATTAACATAAAATGTAATTTGGGGTCATCGTGTACTTAAATAATTGGACCAGTAAGTGTGAATGTCCTTTGATAGCTAAAATTGGAAAGTGTACCCAATGCCTATTATGAAGTCACGTAAACTTTTTAAAAAGACACATTTACATGTTTTTTGTTGATTTATGTGCTACTGGTGATCTTTATTTACCATACTACTTAAGACCTATGCATTCATAATGTACAATTACAGCAGCCATTTAGGAAATTCATTTGAATTGGAAAGTTTCTAAAAGGCTGTGAAGGAAGTAAAATATTTGTCCCAAAAGTCACACTCTTTAATTGAACACTGTTTACTTAATCACTCCGTACCTATTGACTTTGCTTTATATATAATTTTAAGAAACTTAGCTAGGAGAACTCAAAGTAGTAGAAGAAATTTAGAAGAGAATTAAAAGGGCTTTGTTCCGCTCAGGATCATGGTGGGGCGGAGGGCGTGGAACAAGGTAAGCAGGGAGGGTCACCGGAAAGGGGGGCCTCAGGTAAAGGTCAGGAATGGCAAGAAGACAAAGCAATGTTAGAATTAGAATCCTGTGTAGACTGAGGCACAAGACTGACACACTGGCAAGCTGAAGTCAGGTAATAAGAAAAGAGCTCAAAGTTCAGAATCTGAGGAGCAGGAAACCAAGGCTGGGAGAGCAACCAGCTTGCCCTCAGCTCAGAGCCCAAAGTCTGGGTCTACTCTGCCCTCCTCCTCTGGCAGCTTTGTGTCCCACAAGGAGGCACTCCACTCCTTGTTCCTATCTGGGTGTGGGACAGAGCTAATATCCCGGGGAAATCACTCATTCATTCATTCATTCATTCACTTATTCATTCAATAAACTTTAATTGTGTGCCTACTGTGGGCCACGCAGTGTCAGGAGAACGGATACATTAGCGAGTAAGATGAATTCTTACTGCCTGCAAGGAACTTAGTCTAGATGGAGAGATACCACACACACACACACACACACACACACACACACACACACACAGGTAAATACAGCCTTCCATACTGAGAAGAATGCTAGGAAGGAAAGGCTCAAGATGCAGGAACAGAAAATAAGGAGTAGGGGAGCTGCCCTAGATGAAGAGGTCAGAAAAGGGTTCTCTGCAGAGGAGATGTTGAGCTAAGACCTGTTACAGTTAATTATCTGAAGACCGCGGGGAACAAGTCTGTAGACCAACAATGTTGGGATTACTGACCCACGGCAAGGCAGAGCGGGACAGAGAAGGAAGTGTCCTTGCAAAGGGAGACTCCCTCCGGAGAACGCTGATAAGGTCAGCTGTCATTATATTATGAGTGAGAGATACCAACCTTGAGCCAGCGCCGGGAGCGTATAGTGTAGGAACGAGGGTTACTGGGGGACTGAATGGAGTCTGAAGTTTAGTCTACCAAGTCCCTGGGATCTTTACCATCGTCTCTTCCCAGGAGAAGAAGCAACAGGTTCCAGCAGCAGGGCCTCGGAAAGGTAGGGAGTGAAGGGTCAACTTCAAGTGCCATGGAAGCAATCGAGTCCAAACTCAGCATATACACAAACAGGTGCATATACCCTCAGCCCTTCATGGAGAGCAGTCTACAGAACACAGCGTAATTGCTCATTTTCCCCAAAGACCCCCGGATACAAGTCAAGTCTGGGTCTGGCTCACTCTGGGTAAAGACCCACCCTACGAAAAACTTTTACAAGACGCTGAAAGGAAAACTGTTCCTTTACTGTATACGGAAACTTAGCTCTTCAAAGTTTCGTTCAGAAAGCTAAAGTACGCATCCTAATCCTGGGCCCCCAAGGGGACCGTAATCAATATTTCAGAAGTCATTTTATAACTGGTCACTAGCTGACCCAGCCCTCTGACAGTTTCAATTGCTCCACACAGTACCAGCTGGAGGGAGGGGCCAGGATGGCGCTTCCCGCGCAGGACTGGAGGCTGTACTGTCTAGTCTGAGCGCCTGCAATCGACAGAGTCACTAGGCTGCAGGAAGCACCACCTCCCGGACGGCTGGAGGAGCAGCCCATTGGGGTGCACCGAGGGGCCCCGCCCTAGGCTTCTGAGGCCCGGAGTCCGCCGAGGGGCGGTGACCTTGGGCGGGTTGGGGGCGTGGCCGGGAGTGGGCGTGGCGCGTGCGTGGGTGGGGCGGGGGCGGGGCCTGCTTGCGCTTGCTCAGTCCACTCTACTCGGGCGGCGGAGGGGACGTGCTGGAGCAAAGATGGAAGACTACCAGGGTTCCGAGGAGGTAACCGCCCGGCGGCTGTTGGGGGTGGAGGCCGAGACTTCTGGACGTGCGGGCACAGCCTGTTGGGGTACCCCTGCTGCCTTCCTTGCACGGCTGGCCGGCCGCAGCGCCCCCTCCAGGGGCTAAGCAGCCCCGGCGCCCCGCGCCCCGCGACCCCGCAGTCCTCCTGGGCTCCGCGGCCGTCCCGCAGCCCGGAGAGCGCGGGGCCTGGCGTCCACCCCTGCCCGGGACGGGGGACGGGAGGAGAGAGCGCCTGGGCTCGAGGCGCCGGGGAGCCTCGCCCCCACCCGGCCTCGCAGCTCGCGGCGTCGGCCGGGAGGATGACATCACTCTGCCCTTTATCCCGGGGTGCGGACCCCAGTCCGGCCCCCGCGGTGCCCTACGTCCAGGGACTGGGCGACTGGAGCCTGCGCTTTGAACGCAGACCCGGAGCAGCTTGCATGCGCGATATGGGCGCGCGAGACCTTCTCCCAGTCCGTTCTGTAGGGGTCTGGTGTCCAGGCTGCCCGCCAAAGGCAGACCTGCGAATAGCAGAACCTGCCTTTGTGTTCAGGGCCGCACCTTGTCCTTGAGCGCCGCGCCCACTCCCACCCAGGCCACCATCACTGCCTAGATTGTATTTTAGCTTGAGTTTGAGATGTTCGTAAGGTTGTTAATTGTTGTAGGGGGGGAAAAGTGTTACTGCCCGAAAAGAAGTAAAGCACACAATTACTTGCCAAGCAGTGGGTGCTCGCTGTGGCGGGGCTCTGTTAAAATGGCTTTGCCTTCAGGCTAACACGCATTCGGGGAACAGACCTGACTGCTCGGCTTAGAAGAGTTGTTCATGTTTTTTTCTTGCTGAATATCTTTGTTGAAATTCAAATAGCGCTATGTACTATGCGGCCTGTCAGAAATAAAAACTATAAAACAGTTCGGTAAGGTGTAAAAGTTACCATTTTTGAAAAGTATTTCAACCAGGAATATTTTGAGGGGAAAAAATTAAATTTAAGGATTGACTGTAGAGTTTCAGTTTTCATATGATTTCCTAACGCAGTTTCTACGGCAGTGTCAGCACTGTTTGAATGCTCGTAGCAACCAAGTGTGTGTGAAAGGACATAGTTCAGGGACAGCTACCAAAGGAAAAGCGGTCCCCCTTAAGATTGGAAAATGACTTGTATTATATTAACATCAAATAAAACATAAAAAAGGAAACAGCCTTGGAAGAGAAAGCTCTTACTACTGCACTCTAATTCAGGCTTTCACGGGTGAGGCAGCTAAGTGATTCGTTAGTCCAGATAGAAACGACCTCCATGTGAAATGAAAGCGCAGAACAGTGGTCTCTTTTACCCAAGATATAAGCCCTGGGCAGGCGGGAGGGGTCATAGCCATCTTCTGCTAGGTTTGCCTTTGGTGATTACTGGATTGTGCTAGCCCTCCCACCAACCTCTCAACTACACCTTTTTTGCATTTACTCAGAAACCATGGGTGTTTTCTCAACTCTTTCATCTTTCTGATAGAAGTCCAATGTGCCCACTGTTTTCAGTCACTTTCCACTAAAATAGCCCTTCACACCCTGAGCCAGGCGTGGTGGCCCATGCCTGTAATTGCAGCACTCAGGAGGCTGAGGCAGGGGGATCCTTTGGAGTTCAAGGCCAGCCAGGGCTACAGAGTGAGTTCAAGACTAGCTTGAACTGCATAGTGAGAACCTGTCTCAAAAAGACCAAAAAATAAAATAAGATAATTCCTCCACCCTTTTCATACTTTAGCCAGGTGAAAGGTTATAGAGGGACCGCAGTGGCTACCCTCTCATTTCTTTCTAGTTCTCTTTATGGTTTCTCTATGGTTTAGGATCACTCTAGGCACTTGGAAGAGTTCTTTAAACTTCTCGAAATTATTTATTCTCTAAGATACTGTACATTTTCATTAATGTGGTGATTTGGTTTTGTTTCTAAGTATGACTTCTTGTGAGTATAGTGAGTGGAGATGGACAGCCAGCCCTCGTTCCTCCTGGAAAGAAAAGGAATTCACTAGAAGAGGGTAGGTCTACAATGGTCAGCAGCCAAGCAGAGAGGAAAACTTAGCTAAAGCAGGACCCTAGGGGCTGCGCTTTCAGGGCTAAGAAGGGTTGCAGATGCAGCAGTGACTTGTTTTCCTGTAAGGAAGCACATTGGCAAGTGCCTAACTGATGTTATTTTCAGGATGACCTGTACCTGTTTTAATCTGTCATATGTAAAAAGTAAAGAAAGAAAACTCTGCTTTTGGCAGTAGATTGCTGCTGGCAGCCAACCTCCCTCATCAGCTGCTAGTTAGTCTTGAAGGAGGACAGCATTAAGAAAATTTCTGAGCTGGGCACCATGCCACTTCCTATAATCCTAGCTACTTGAGAGGCTGAGGCAGAAGGATTGCCAAGTTCAAGGCCGGCCTGGGCAACTTAGTGAGACCCTGTCCCAAAATAATACTTTAAAAGGGCTAGGGAGGTAGCTTAGTGGTAGAACACTCAGCTAGCATGGTTTCAAGTCCCAATACCAAAGTATCATCCAGGAATAGTTCAATCGTTGTAAATTTTTTGACTAATGGATTTAAAAAAGAAAAAACAACCTTTAAAGTTTCATGCCTCCTAATCAGTTTATATCTGGAAGAATTACAACACAATCTCTACAATAGATGCTTAAACTGCTTCAATTAATTCCTCTGAGTAATTCATTAAACCTCCGCACTGATTAATGGTCCCAAGCCAGTTGAAATGGAAGGGGAGATTGAATGCTAGTTTAAGGAGAAGTTTTAGATTGTAGCATGATTTAAACAAAACAAAAACCCTTTAAATTATACACACATTTTCCAGTCCTACTGTGGTGTGGCTTGATCCTAGAACTCTGGTGCTAGGGGCGGGGCATTTAATGTTTCAGAGGCTCCTTGTAATACAATCCATAGTAAAGTGAACAGCCTAACAGATGATTTCTAAAATCCTAATTTCTTATGTTATGTTCTTACCTAAATTTTGTTATGTTCTTACCTATGTTATGTTTTTACCTTATGTTATGTTCTTACTAAATTTGCATTTATCAGTGCATCAGAAACAGCTTTTTTATTTTTTTATTTTTTCGGTACTGGGAATCGAACTCAGGACCTTGCACTTGTCAGGCAGGTGCTTGTGCCGCTGGGCTATATCCCTGGCACGGAAACAGCTTTTGTAAACAGATCAAACTTACCCTGACTTTCTTCCTTACAGACTGCTTTTGTTGTTGATGAAGTGAGCAACATTGTGAAAGAGGTAAGAGAAACGCCTACTTAGGTGATGGCTTCCATGAGTGAAAATATTGTGTGAATCAAATACTGTTTTAAAGTTGTTTCAACAATTACTGACCCTGTGTGTTTTACTATTTCAAATAATAGTTTTACTTTGTGACTATTTTGGTAAGATTACTCCCAGATTATGTTAATTACACACGTTAAATCAGACAGGAAATTTTGCATTTTTTTTTTTGGTACTGGAAATCAAACTCAGGACCTTGCGCTTGTCAGGGAGGCACTTGTGCCACTGAGCTATGTCCCAGCCCCAGACAGGAAATTTTATGTGACATTATTACTGACCGTTACTAGAGCTGGATTCTCTGAAGCTTGTAGCATACAAGACTCATGCCATACAGATGTTTCCAGTGTTTAATGGAGAGGAGTACCCCCAAAATTTCATGACATCCAGACAGTCCAGGCGTGGTGATGCAGGGTCTGCCTACATTCCTAAACTGTGCACGTTGCTGCTATGGGTCACAGTACCTCCCACAGATGAACAGGAGGCTGAGAGAAAAAAATGGGTATTTGTTCATCCATTCACTCATTCAGAAAATACTCTGGAGGGAATGTGCCAGGGGCTGACCTCTTGGAGTTTACAGTCTAGGAGGAGGGCAGACCTAACAGCTGCTTAGCCTGGAAGCTGGAAGCGCGACCCTGCTGTGTGCTGAGTGTCACAGAACATGTTCCAGTCAGAGCATTTAAAAGGGGAGTGTGAGCCCACTTAGAATGAACACAGTGAAGAGGGGGAACAGAGCTTCCAGGCTGTGGCGGCGAGTGCAGCGGCCCAGTGGGGGTGGCCTTGGAGAGTGTGAGGGAGGCAGAGGAAGCAGATTGCTTGAATGGTGCAGAGCTAGGTGTTTCTGGGGCACAAATAAACCCAGGGAGCTTTCCTAGTCGGCTTCCCTGCCCAGCTACGAGTGAGCTCAGATATTGGAGCTAAGTGTCATTAGATGATCTGACTTTCAGGGTGTCACTTGAGATTCCCTATGTAACTTAGGATTGGCTTTTATTAAGGATACAGAGGGATAAGGAACCACAACCTATTTCTGTGAAAAATACCCAAAAGCAAAATTATTTTCTTGTCTACTATATGCATGATTCAACATCAGACATGATTTTTTTTGTTGTTGCTTCACAAGGCCTGTAAGTTTACTTTTTACTGTTTTTTAACGTAGGATGTCTTGTTTGAGCAGGTGGGGAGCAGGAACGGATGTGGTGTGAACTAGAATCAAGTAGAGCTGGTTTGTTAGGAGTCTGGTTTTGCCTTACAGTACTTGCTTTTTGTATTAACTCTGACTTGGTTACCAGGCAGCAAGTACAGCTGAAAAGTACATACACATTGCCACCCTGGGGGCAAACATGAGGTGCCATGGCAGTGTTACTTGAACGTGTATCTCTCTTCAGCAGCTCCCCCACCCCCACCCCATAGCAGGTTAATTCTGTACTCACGCTATTTTAAGTAGTCACAATCTGGGGAGGTCCCAAACTGGAGGAAGTTTTTCTTTCCTCCCTGCAAAAGTGAAACTCAAAGTATGTAGTGAGGACTGCTGAGGTAGGTTTGCCTGCCTTCTTTGATAGCTCAAGTAGTAATACCCTTGTCCCCTAAACCAGGGCCCCTGGACCCCTGGCCACTTGCATTCTTCAGCCAGGTGGGGACAGATATGGCAGAGGATGAGGAGGAACCAGGAACTGTGTCATTGTCACTGCATAAAGCCTCAGGGTAGGTAGGAGGGTCAGGAGGTAGAAATTGAGATGGCTGTCTGTATGGTTTCATTCCTTAAAATGTTTTTATTTTTACTTTATGTCAGATGTGTCCTATAAGCTCAGTTTTCTGGTTTCTAGCTCAGTTTTCTGGAACGGAGCAGAGAAGAAAGCTGCTTCGATTCAGACCACTGGCATCAGTGTGGAAAAGGAAGCTGACAGGGAAAACCCAGTCACAGGATGGGAATGTCAGCGAGAAGCGGAACAGGAAGAGGGGCGGCGAGCCATGTTCTTTAATAGCCATAGAAGAGCACAGCACAGGAGGAGGAGGAAATTCAAAATAAAAGATTCCATCACAAACTAGGTTTTGGAATGTAAAGGGCTATTTTTTAATGTTCTGGAAAACTGCACTTAGGGAGCAGTATATTTCCAGAAAAAGCATTTGAATACATGACTATTTGGGTAGATTTGTACACTGTTAGTTGTACAAATAACCAGAAATTCAGCTAACATCCAGTGTCACTGTGTATTACTACTGGATGAAAACATCTAATATACTTTTAAGAGAAACTTGCTTATGTACAGATGTTAGTAGTAACGGTGAACATTACATTCAATTGGATCAAAATGTTAAATATGATTGGCAGAATCTGTGTAACTGTGGATCTTTCAGCCAACATACTTCTTGTTCAAATGCAATGTAACACTGTTAACCCAGGCTGTACTGCGAAGGACTTCTGGGGGATAAAAATAAACGTGCATCTTATGTAAGTTTTATTTCAGCAGCTCCCAGGCTATCCTGTTTCAGGTACTGATGGGCAGAAGTTTGGTTTGTTCTCTGCCTGTGACCCTCCCCCGTGCTTTGTCTTCCAGGCCATAGAAAGTGCCATCGGCGGCAACGCTTACCAGCACAGCAAAGTGAATCAGTGGACCACAAACGTAGTAGAGCAGACTCTAAGCCAACTCACCAAGCTGGGAAAACCCTTTAAGTACATTGGTAATGGACTTCTGTTTCTTGTGGATTTTAGTGCTGGTTTTTAAAAACACTGATCAGAGGTGCCAGAAAAAAAAGCCAACTTGGCAATTCAGTGCCTGACCTCCAAGAAAGTTTCTCCCACAAGTAGGTCACCTGTGAGGCATGTACTGCCATATACCTGGCCTTTTTTTTGGTTTTTTTTTCCGGTACCGGGAATCGAATTCACGACCTTGCACTTGCCAGGCAGGTGCTGTGCCGCTGAACTAAATCCCCAGCCCCTACCTGGCCTTTTTGACTGCTGGTACAACTGAAGGGTGAAATGCTTTCTTTCTAGGACAGGAAGTGGTAAAGGAAGGGAAGTAGGTAATTTATCAGTACAGTGGGACAAAGCAGGCTAGCCTCACGCTGGGGGTTGTTTTTATTAATACGTTTACAGTACATACGGATTACATTTATTGTGGGGAGTTGGTTCATGTACAGAACACATCTTTTTTTGTCCCCTTTCCCTCCCATCTGTGCTTCCTCCAACTCTTAACTCCCCTTCCCAGTTGAAAGTTTTATTTCCATTTTTTGGTTCTTTTTAATCTCCCCTTCCTTCTTTCCATGTCTTGTTCCCCCTCCCATTTGAAAAAGATCTCCTGAAATCCTATTATCTATGCTTTGCTTTTGTTCTTATGAGAAACTGTGATATTTAAATTTGTGTGTGTGTTTCACTTAACATGAGGTCTTGAGACAGGGTCATTTACTTACAGATGCCTCACGTTTGTCCTTCTTTATAGCAGAATAGTATTGCATTGTGTATAAACCACATTTTCTTTATCCGTTCATCTGCTGATGTACAGGGCACCTTTCAAGATTTAGCTGTTATAAATTGTGCTGCTATAAATATGGGTATGTACATTTCACTGTAATATTTTGGGAAGATTCTTAGAAGAGGAATGCCTAGGTCAAATGCAACTTCTAGTTTTAGGTTTTTTGGTTTGTTTTCAGTTTTTTGAGACAGAGTCTGGCTATGTCATTCAGGCAGGCCTTAAACTCACTACATAGCCCAGGCTGGCCTGGAACTCATAGTAATCCTCTTGCCTCAGCCTTCCAAGTGCTGGGGTTACCGGTGTGCACCACCATGCCCAGTTTAGTTTTAGTTTTTTGAGGAATCTCCATACTTATCTCCATAGTAGGGTCCTAGTTTACATTCCCACCAACAATGTAGAAGGGTTCCTTTTCCCCTGTAGCCTCACCAGCATTTGTTATTTGATTTCTTGATGATAGGCATTTTGGAATAAGATGATATCTTACTGTTGTTTTAATTTGCATTTTTCTAATGGCCTGCAATGTTGAATATTTTTTTCAGGAATTTATTGACCATCTGTACCTCTGAGAAGTGTCTTTCATTTGGTTGCTCATTTTTTGATTCAGTCTTCTATTTTGGGGATCTAAACTTTTGGAGTTTTTTTTTTGTACAGTCTTGATGTTAGTTCTTTTAGGTGTAGCTGGCAGAATTTCTTCCCATTCTACAGGTTGTCTCTTCACTCCATTGGCTGTCTCCTTTGAGGGTGCTTTTTTTTTTTTTTTTGGTTATTTTGAGACAGGTTTTTTTTTTGGTTTTTTATCTGGTACCGGGAACCGAACATACGACCTTGCGCTTGCCAGGCAGGCGCTTTTGCCGCTGAGCTAAATCCCCAGCCCCTGGCTGTCTCCTTTGAGATGCAGCAGCTTTTTCATTTGATCCCCGTTTGTTGAGTCTTGGTATTATTTCTCATGCCATTGGGGTTCTGTTCAGAAAGTCCTTGCGACGCCTGTGTCTTAAAGAGTTTTAACTATGTTATCTTCCAGCAGTACTCCTGTGATTTTTATGAAGGATGTCAACCATGGCATCAACATACCTATGTTAAAGACAGGCAAGACAAAATTCATGTTGCTAACATTTTTCTGATGTTTTAATTTAAGTGACCTGTGTAATTATGCAGAAGAATGGAGCTGGATTACACACGGCGAGTTCCTGCTTCTGGGACAGCAATACGGACGGTGCGTATAATTCTCTGTTTTTTTGTTGTTTCTTGTTTTCTTGTGGTACTGAGGTTTGAACTCAGGGCCTTGTACATGCTAGGCAAGCACTTTACCACTAAGCTACATCCCCAGCCCTGGTGCGTATAATTCTCATCTGTCAAGTCCTGTCATGTTACATATTCCTTCAGCGTTTTCAAGTACATTCTCAGACTATCCTTAGACATTTATGAAACAGGTGCTTTGATGCCTCATGCCTTCACATGTATCTTTATAAGCGTTACCAACATTTTTATGAAAACTTGCCAGTCCTTACTTGTATACCATAAAGGGTTTCTTGAGTATTGGCCTGAGTATGAGAAATCAGAACATCTGTCCCCTTGCTGTCTTCATTTTCGGGGCCAACCTGTCTTTCTCCCCAGGGAGCTGCACCGTGCGATGGGAGAACAAGACCATGTACTGCATCGTCAGCACCTTCGGACTGTCCATTTGACCTCTTCAGCAAGCCTGCGACCTCCTTCTGTCTCAGCGTTTCTGTTCCATCTGCTAACTGCCAACCTTGAATTCAGTGACACCTTTTTCCTCTGTTTTGTGGCACTCTCAAAATGTAGAGAAATAAACCAAATGACTGTGTTGTATACGAACTGCACACTGTAAGGCTCTGTGGGTAGTTCTGGAGCCTGTGTTGCCACCTGTCTTAACTCTGTTTCTTTTCAAAGGTGCTAAAAACTGAATTCTGTAAGTGGGAAACTCTCTGTTCTCTGAAATGATTCATTGATTTTCCATACTTTATACTTTTGTTAGAATAAATTATTCAAATTTAAAGTTTGTGTTTTTCTTTCATAGTCTACACAGTATCCTACAAGTTTGTTCTTGACAGTGGCTTCACAATCTTTAAAACCAGAGGAGGGCTGGGGATGTAGCCCAGCGGCCTGTGCCTGCCTGGCAAACAAGAGGTCGTGAGTTTGAGTCCCAGTACCAAAAACCAAAACAAAACCAAAGGAAAAGAAAAAAGTCACATTCAGCTTTCTGCCACCTGTGCCGCTGTGGAGCGCACGTAGACACTGGCTACTCTGTCGGATGAGCAGTGCCGGGAAGGACGCGAAGCCAGGTTCTTGACAGATCATGCTGCAAGGTCTCCTACTGCTTCCTCACTGTCACAGTGATGCATGGGTCCACTGGTGAAGCTGCAGTCACTGAGGACCACAGAGCTGGGAAGATGATTGTGAACCTCACAGGCAGGTTAAACAGCATGGAGCGGTGAGGCCCGGGTTCTGTGTGCAACTCAGATGTAGACAAAGGAGTTGTTTTACTATACTGACCTCCACTGGCATCGTGGACCAAGAAGCAGCAGCAAGACACACAGGAAGAAAAATCGTAGGACTGATTTTAGGGATGTAATACATACATACAACTAAGATGCCTCAGTGGGATGATAAAAAAGGTGTATCTCATAACTCTGCTTAGGCATGAGGATTTTCTGATTTCACCCAGGATCTTGGCAGCAGTGCTGGGTTCTGGTGAGATTCTCTGCTGGGCATAACAGACACGCCTTGTTCTTAAACCCCCACCCATTCAGGAAGGTGAAGACCAGGACACGTGTGACAGAGCGCACACATGTTTGGTTTAAAGCTGACACTACAACTTTCGCTCCATGTCTTTTTTCCTCCCTCCCTCCTCTCTGTCCCTCTCAGTACTGAGGATTGAACCTCAAAGCTACATCCCCAGCTATTTTAAAAATATATGTTGAAGTTGCCCAGGCTGGGCTTGAACTTGTGACCCTCTGCCTCAGCCTCCCAGCGTGCTAGGATTATAGGTGTGCTCCACCACGTGGGGTTAAATCTCATGCTCTTTATTTTTCAGGAGCAGTCACAAATAGTTTTAGTACTTTATGGCTTACAAAAAAGCTTTCACAGTCACTTTGGGTCCACAACAACTATGCAGTTTTTTTTAAAAAATCAGAAAGCATGTTTGGAGGTTATCTGACTGATTTAAAGTCACATCTAATTAGGGAGGTGAACCCCAAAGCCTGGCCTCACATCCACCTCTGGAGCTCACCTGTGGGCTGCATCAGACATGGTCAGGATTCTGCTCAAACAACACCTTGCTCTTAGTTCCAAAGCCCTCTTACTAAAGCACTCGTGTCTGACAGACAAAATTAGCTCCATGCACAAAGACCAGTAATACTGAATGTTAAATATGTGATTAGTATGTACTGGTAAGTGTCAGAATGAAGCCACCCCCAAATCACAAGTTTGTCATAAATAAACTTTATTGGCTTTTGTGTGATTGTTTACAACCACTCCAACTGGGTGGCACTATGCTCCACTGACAGTTCCAAAACCGGGTACACAGTTCTCTTCCCTTCTCAGCTTTACGTGTTTTTTTTTTTGTTTTTTTACAAATATTTAGTCTTTTTGTAAAAAGGCAGTTTTTAATAGAAGAAAATCCTTTTTCATAGTAAGTTATTACACTTACCAGTAGATCCAAAACATCAAGATAAAATTGCTCAACAAGTTGTCACAGACTACAGCAACGTCCTTTGGCCTTGGGAAAAGACCCCCTCACCCAATCAAACTTCTAAGGCAATTGGTTTCTAAAACCTTCAAAGTACACAAATACACTTGAGTGTCTTAAATCTAGTCTTTACTAAATGTTCATAGAGAAGTCTGTTTTAATGATCCCTTTCATGGATGCCCATGTTTCTCCGTGAAAGGATTCAGGAAATGTTACTGGCCATATTATAATCTATTTATCATAACTGTGCCTTCAATAAGTAGTTCATAAAATAGTAAGGCTGGTGACATGTCCGTAACTTATCCAGTGGGTGGGCTTACTTATTGCAGTTGTATACAACGACCACCGTACAAGACTTAAATATATTGTATCTATCCTCTTCTGTACCCTTTCAAATGGGGCTTGAGAGAAAACCCCACCACCTCCCACTATAATGATTTAATAATAAATCAAGCAGACCTATTATCCGTGTGGATAATGAAGCTCTCCCTAGGGAAACTATGAAATTGCTCTGTTCATTGTCCAGGTTCCCCTAGACTGGGCCAATATAAAAGAATCCCAAAGATAATGCTATTTAAGCCATTACCATGAAAGAACTCAAGTCAGGCCTTTGAATTTATAATTTAAATTTGCAAAACTATAATACCTTCAAACAAAACAATTTTCCCCTTACTATCAAAAGTTTCTGGCAGACTTCAGTGTTTTTAACTTATGCTTATGGGATATATTCCACATGCTAAATGCTTTGTAAGCAATCTTTTACACAGAGTATACAATTACATGATGCATCATAGATGAGAAATTGGAAACAAATGGTTTAATAATTATCTTTACATGCTTCCTTTGTAGATTTTTCTTGTTCCAACAAAAATACTCTCATCTTTTACAGCACTGATGTTTTTTAAAAATCAAAGTATGAGGATACTAGTCTTAAGTTTATAATTAACTATAAAACAATGTTTAAAAAGTTCTGTGATCTGGCTAAATGCCTCAAATATCTTTACATTTACTGATAAAACAACAGCATTTCAAATCAGTGACAGTTCTTTTATAATGATTAAAGCATCTCAACTACACCACATAAATAGAATATGTTAATCAGCACGGGTCAGTCTTCCTCAGTACACGTAAAATTATTTACAAGGGAAGTAGTCTTATTAGAAGTTGTAAAAATTTGGTAACAGAAACATTTTTTTCAATACCTCTGAGTACACAGAATCAAAAAGTCATCACAGCATTGCAAATGTAAAAATCATGTAAACTTCAATTACCCTTGCGATTCTACAGTTCTCAAACATTCATATTTACAAGGTTTTTAAAACAAATATAAATGGAGTCAACATTTAAGTATATCATCATTAAAAACACAAGAAGTCAGGCCGGGGATATAGCTCAGCGGCACAGCGCCACAGCAAGTGCAAGGTCGTGAGTTCGATTCCCGGTACCAAAAAATAAAACATAAAAGCACAAGAAGTCATAATGAATGGTCTCTTCCAAGCATTTCTAGGGTCTGGGCACCACCTAGTGGACTAACCTGCAGCTTGGAGTGGAATTCTGAGTTGGTGCATAGATGGAGGGAATAGAGTTGGTCCCTGAAGAGCTCAAGGTCCCAGGCCTCTGCGTTCACTGAGACGGCAGCAGGCAGGATGACTACAGTTACACTGTGTTAACACAGACATCATTGTGCACGGCCAGGGAGGAGTGCAGGAAACTATCCAGAGTCTGACAGCAAGGAGCTGCAGTCTCAGGCCTTTCTCCGATGCCAGACTTTCACCAGCATCAGAGACATCTCTCTGCCTCTGAGCAACACATCTACTCACCTGATCCCTGCAGGACTCACCGATGACAGGAAATGACTTCCAGACAAGTTACCTCTACACAGCCACTTAAAATGTTTTACATTCTTTTCCCCTAGTTTCTAAATATGAAAACTGAAAACCTTTTAGGTAATAAAGAATCTGTAATATTAATCATTCTTGTAGCCTTTATTTAAAAAAAAAAAGCTCTATGGGGTTTGTGTTCAACAGAATTGGAGAGATTACTATTTACTGGAATGGGAATCCACCTCTACCCACCACTACTGCCTCGTCAGCCACAGGAAACGCGCTCCTGCCCGCGTGCGGGCACACACGTGCACAGAGAGCCTTGGGAAGCACCACGCACGAGACCTTGCCCACAGAGCTGGTCGCTGTGCATTGTCTCAGCCGCGCCCTGCTCAGTTTCTCTAACCCTGCTCGGATCACCATGGTACCGTCACTTCTGCCTCACAGGTGGTGCTGGGCCGCAGCCTGGCCGCTTGCCATTCCGACACTTTACATGGCTCACCAGACGCAGTCAATGTCGTCTTTCCAGGTGCCCGGGCATCCCGGGCCCTGAGCACTGGCAGGCAAGGACTGCCCGGAGGCAGCAACAGCAACAGGCTTCTCTCTGATGTAAAATGTTAAAAACAAAATACAAAGCAGTACCGTGGGGAAGCGAGGGACGGCAGGAAGAGGGGAGGGTAACACTGCCATGGTGGAGCACTGCCGTTCGTGAGTCGGGAATTAGTAAACCATTTAAAAAAAGAAAAGAAAATACATAAATCTGTCTACTAACATTTTTTTCTTGCCACTGAAAACACTGTCTCATCTGAAATCTTCATAAAAGGATTTGGCTTTTTAATTTTTTATCATCCCCTCTTCCCAAACAGACAGAGCCATCTTGACAACAAATGGCCGAACATTTAGGTTTGCCTTCAGGTTTGGTTTTCTTTTAAAAATATGTAAACAAATAAGGAGCAGGAAAGGTTTGCCTGTGAGAAAAGTCTGAACGTCAGCGGGTAGAGAGGAAGGCCAGGGCAGAGGCCCTAAGAGAAGGGGCCTGACCCCGGGTCCTGCCCACAGCCTGCAGCTCAGTCGCTGTCTGACTCCTCCTTGTACTTGGCCCGAAGAGCCTGGCCATTCTGCAGCGGCATTTCTTCATAGTCACTCCTGTGGTAAAAGAGAACCGTGACACATTCCGCTGGGTCTCGACTGATGGGTCTTCACATTCACACACCGTTCTGAAGAGACCCATTTCAAGGCTCCCCTCTCAGTGTTCTGTTGCACCTGATCTTGCTCACTCCCCCGGCTCAATGCTGACGGCCCATCCAACCAGAGAACTGCTCCTTCTGTGGTCACCACCTGCTGCAGGCGTTCTGCAAAGGATGCCACTAAAACTAAGCCTGAACCATGTGGAAACAGCCATGGAATGAGATGACACTCCAGGTAATGTAATAATACCTTGAAAACCGTCTTAGAATAATAACATGCATTCAGTACACATGCGAAGCCAGGTGGAATACTCCACATGAAATGGCCTTCCAAGAGACAGTGACTTACCCATAAATCACATCGTCGTCGGAGTCATTGAGCATGGAAAATGCAGGATTGTCTTTCAACTGGGACTCTGAAAACCAACAAAAGCCTTTTTATCTCAAGCAAGTTATGTTATTAGCCTGGCAAGAAGTCTGAAAGAGCCTGCTGCCAACTGCAGATCCTATGGGTATAGCTGTGTGAACCCGAACAAGTCACCCCGGGAGTCTGTTTTCTCAGCTATGAGACAGTCACTGTGCAGACTAACAGAGCGGCCTGCAGGAAGGGCTGGTGATCACAGGTGCCCTCACATGGGAACTGCCTCACGCACACTATCTCCTAGGTCCGCACAGGCAGCGGGGCGGGGACAGGCCCCAGGACACAAGGCTGCATCCTGTCTGCTTCCAATTTGTCCCAGCCTGCCACGGCCTCTGCTAAGTTTCTCGGCTATTAAGTGGGAGTGGTTATTTCTCCAACATGAGGCCACTGTGAAGCTCAGAAGAGATGCAGCTTGAAAGCACCACATAACCGGCACACTGCATCCAGCCCAGCCATTCCCACCCTCCATCCCAGCGCTAGGGCTGCCTGTTGTGTTTTAGGGGGTGCTTTTTAGGTTTCGGCTCTCCTCTGAGTGGTCAGGACACCAGTATTCCACAGACTATACTTCATGTGGCCAATGGACATCTGCTTGTGTCAGAAGCCACTAACAAAATTAACTTCTTCATCAAGTGCTACAACACACGTGGCTCAATGTACGCTGTGTTCCAACCCCAACTCCAGGCTTGTAGCTTAATTGCCTTGTCGCTCTCTTCCCAAACAGAAGACACCATGAATCATGGTGCCCAGCATCCGTGGAAAACCCATTAGTGACTCCTGAACCAATGCAGACCTCTGCTTCAGCCACCTGGCCAGCAACCCGGACCTGAGGTGGCTTACCATATAGAGCATTCTTCGACGGAGAATATACAAAGGCCAAAGTGTACAGATAGAAGTTCAACAGGCCATAGAAGGATAAGAATTCCGCTGGTGGTGCTGTCAAGGGAGGTAACAGCGGACTTGGAGGTGCAGCTGCTGTCTCCGCTTTCAGTCTCATCCCCCTCCCAACCATCAGTAGCCTTTTTGGTGCTAATCGCAAACAACTGGGCCCCCAACTCAGCCGTCACGACTCCCTAGAGCAAGCCGATGGCCAGAGGCCTCAATAACCTTTCAAGGTCACAGGAGCTAACAGGTGAACTGTGACCTCTTCCACCAGTGGGACATGGACTGAGAATACTCAGTGCGAGTCCTCTTACTGCAGGATGCAGGATCTGGAGGCACCGAGTCACACATGCACAGAGATGAGGAAGTGAACCCAGGTCTCTTGAAATAATAATGCAGAACTGAAAGAAACTCTCAGAGCAATTGTTCATAACCTGCTCTGGGTTACAGAACCCTTCGAGGATCTGATGATAGCTTAGTGTGAAATTAAGTCACAAAAAATTGAAAAAGCATGCATTAATTGTAAGGATATAAGCAGTCCCAGGGCAAGAGCCTGGGATTTAAAGGACTGACCTCCTCAGCGTCCCCATCAAGGGGGCAAAGAAGAGATACACACAGCGTCCACCTGAATGAGGGCAAGGAACCCCAGAGGAACAGCTGCTAAATGGCCTCAGTTGAGGGAGGCCCACTATTCTGAGCCCCCTCTTGTACGCACAGGCTCAACCTGCTAAGTTGTCCAGACACCACAGAAGTGACATCGGATGGCCTGGACAACGGTGAAACAGATGCTGATACTGCTTCAGCCCCTGGGCCACTCCTAGCTGACCAGGTTCAGACCTACGACATTCAGTCACACAGGTCTGCGCACTGGAAAGAATGCAGCGTAAACAGAGCCAGCTCCAGAGCACTGGGGCCTGGGTTTGGATCCAGACTGGGGCCACATGGCGACCAAGCTCAGGTACTGGGCTAGCTGTGCATGTCTGACTTCCTGCCTAAAGAGGAGGGGTGACCTTGCTGACTGCACCCTGAGTGAGAAACACCTGTTAGCACAGACAGGGCACATGAGCCCCCAGGCCTCCTGAGGACAGGCCACAAGGAGTGAAGTGTCTCCTCCTGAGGGTCCAGATCTACACACTAACCACCACACACATATTACTTGGTCTCCAATTAAAAGGATATAATTCTGGTAATGAGTTGATAGCTCTGCTACGAAGTTGTCCTGCAATACTTGTGCTCCAAACCTTAAATAAAGGATGACGATGCTGAAAAACAGAGAGGTGGAGACAATACTTAAAAACAGAGAAAGAAGTGATGCTAGCTTTGTACAACTTGTGTTTACCCCATTAATATCTGGTCATGGGAACCACAGACACCCCTCCCAACCCCTGCCTCTGCTCTTTGGTCTCACGTCGGGAGGGCCTGAACTTTGCCAGCTTTGGGACAGGGTGAGTTCACCTGAGGCGGAGCACTCTGCAGTTGCAAACCAGGGACCTGAAGCAGCGCCCACCATTTCTCCTCCCCAGCTCCCGCCCACTTAGTTCCCGTCTTCAGCATGGGCTCCTGCACCAGAACGGCTCCCTTAAGGGAGGCAGCTTCTCCTTAATTGCGTCATGTCGGCACGGTGACCCCCACAGTGACAGGAGCAGCACACCTGTGGTTCGGGCCTCTGAAGATCCCACTAACAGGGACTTCCGGGGCCACCACTGGCTCTTCCCAGGACAACGCTATGCCCTCCCACCTGCCTCCTACCTGCCAACCTCCCTCCACCCACCTCCAAGCCCTCCAGTGGTTTCCCACCCCTGAAACCAAAACCCCAACTCCTCGGGTGGCCTACAGAGCCCACTCTGCCCTCCGGGGAGCCGCCCTCCCGCCTCCCCCAGCCTGGGCCTCCTGTGATGCTGCTGGGCCTCCACTCGCTGTTGTCACGTCAGGCCGCCCCCATCCTTGCCCTCCTCAGAACCCCTCCGGCCTCTGCTGTCACCACATCTGCCTGTCTTACTCTCACTGGGCCCTTATGCTGCTTATTTCCTTGGCTGTCACCTGTCTTCCTTTGTGGACTATAAGGGCCACATCAGGGAGGCGCCTGTCTGCTGCACAGGCTCTTAATCAATGCCCTGGACACACATTTGCACACAGACCACAAGCACAGAACTGCTCCGAGGAGTCACACAGAGGCCCATCAGTGGGAGCAGGAGACTCAAGGGTGACAGTGTGTGACATACATGTTGATTTGTGTGGAAAAGTATGTGTCTGCGTACTAGTGCGTGCACACGTAAAGATTAGGAGGGTGTGTGTGGGAATGGTGTGTGAAGGTGAAAGAATGTGTGTGTTCGGGTGTGTGGAAGGACATTTGGTAGTATATGTGGCAGGGAGTGCGTGTGTGTGAGGGGGTGTGAGTGAGGGGTGAGAGTGTTACTGTTTATATCTAGATGGTCCCCAACAGCTGCATGTGTTTAATTTTTAAGAAGTTTTACAGAAACTCCCAGCTAAAGCTTGTTTTGTGTTTCAGGAAAGACTTTGCGTTTGGACTTTTCAGCAATGCTGAAACTGTCAAGCCTCTGGCAACTCTTAGACATGGACTAAATGTACTTTGCATAAAGAGACGCACACGAATCTTCTGGAGGCAGGGGCAGAATGTTATTATTTATATCTAGGTGTTCCCCAACAGCCTCACATGCTTCCAGGTGGCCTTCCAGAAGGTGGCTGGATTCTGGGCATTAGAGCTGCCTGCTGTTATGGGGGGTGTGGTGGGGAGAGTGCGCCCCTGAGGTGTGGCCTGGAAGGGCAGAGCGCCCTGCCCAGCTTCCTTCTCTCTGCTGCCAGCTTTCCTCCTCCAAAGGCTTCCACCACTCCTCTCCTGCCCTGGACCCTACCGACTATGGAGCCAAACACCTCTCCCCCTCTGAACTGTGGCTGCCGAGTGTTATGTCTCAGTGACCAGGAAGTGACTGAGACACGGGGCCTGTATGATGACGTTGTCGGTATATGGGTATATGCAGTTGGAGGGGTGGGGCGAGCAGGTAGAGACAACATGTGCTTCAGGTGCCTGCAGGGAGGATTTGGACATTTAAAACTTACATCTTCGTGTGACTTTAGTTGCTAAATGAAACTGAAGTACACTTAGAAGGCGGAGTTGGACTCCGTGTCCAGGGGTGGAGGGTGGCCCTGACTACAAGTCTTCACTCTCAGACAGGCTGGGAGCTCCAGAACCAACCTGGAGACCCTAGCAAAGGTCCAGGCTCCCAGAGGCCCTGGATGGCTTCCATCAGAAAAAAGCCCCACATCCACTTAACTGCCCCCAAACCACAAAAAAGTAATTCAGATAATTAGACTGCTACTCTTCTGGATTTTCATTTTAGGAGACAGAGGCAAACTCAACAACCAAATAATAATTAGGAATGTATTCAAAGAAACACCTCCTACCCGGGGCACCACAGGCAAGGCACTGCGGCAGCTCCTGCTTGGGGCCAGCTGCACGCTGCTCCCCAACACCTGTAACACTAACTCACACTTAGAGCACTGACCTCTGTTCCCAGGGCACGAGCAGGATCCCCAGGCCCAGAAGGCCCCCCTTGCACTTCATATGTGGGACCAAAACCACCCCAAAGTAAATCCACAAACAGAAGAGATACTCAAGACAGTGGAATGAAGTCTCCAAGTTACTTTGTAACACCAAATCTTACCTAATAACCAGCACTACAAAGGTCAATGTTGTCAAAAATTTTAACCTGAGATCTAAAAAAGAAAGAAACATGCCCAGCAAATTCCACTTACATCAAGAAACACACCACCCCCACCGCCCCACCCCATCCCCGCATCCCTCTGCCTTGGGACTTCAGCCTGCTATCCTGCTAAAAGGCAGGAGAGGCGCAGCTCGGGACCCAAGGTAGCTTCAGGACAGCTTGTGCAACCCCTTTCCGGAAGGACATATGGGGGAAGGACCCTGAAATCAGGGGACTCGCTCTGACCAAGGACTATGGTGTGGCTTTGACAGGACCTGGCCTGCTTTCACAGCTCCAGAGCACCCACAGCTGCTGGCTTCCACCCCAAAGGCATCTCTCCAAATGGCCAATCACCCACTGGGGCCTCTTGCAGCTCCCAGGGACCCAATGCTCCCTCGGAGCCAGCCTTAATGGGAGACTCCAGCACTGCCAGGTGGCCCCTGAAATGATGCTCACCCACGTAAGGCATGTTGCGGAGTTCGGAGCATGCACGCACTATCAAGAACAAGAGGTACAGGATGTACACAGCTGCCACCACCATGAAGAAAATCTTCATTCCCTGGAAAAAAAATGGCACTTCAGTCAGAAGAGACCTCGGTGCACATGCACAGCTCCTCCCAGCATCACACAGGCAGGAAAGCCAAGCACAGAGCAGAAGGGACCTGAAGCCTCAAGGTCATCCTGACACAGAATGAGGTAGGTAGGGGTCCTCCATAAACACAGGCAACTCCCCCCAAAGGACACCCCAGCCCTGGCACATCAGAGGAAAAGCCAGAGCCAAACCCCCTCGGGAACATGTCTGCTGCCTGCCTGGGCCTGGGCCTGGAGCCAGGGGCATCTTGCTAGCGGGGGTAGTCACTGCACGTCCCTCTCTGGGGTGGCATCTAGTCTTGCCCTGCTAATGAGGACAGAGGCTGGAGCTGGACCTTGGCAAGTCTCAGCTGCACCATGTGTGTGAAATAAGGAGACACACTTGAAGATGGGGCCTGGGGAGAGTGCGTGTGCAGCCCTGCCACGCTCGGCACTGCGGGTGATGGCCAGAGGCTCTGCTGAGAGCCAGGCTGCGGGTGGGTGAGCCTCATCCCTGCTGAGCCCTTGCCTCCCCATGGGGTCCGACGCTCCCTTCAGCAGGGGCTTCCATCCCTTTCCCGTCCCTGTGTGGCAGAATTCCCCTTCACGGTCAAGACACAGAGAGCAGAACCACAGGGCAAGGACACAGACTCTGCTTCTGCCTTGGAGGGACCTGCATGGCTACGGTCTAGGCTTTATTTTCTCCACTATAAAGGGGCGCACTTAGATGGCTGCTGCAAGCACCCTAGCAGCTTCTGACCTCTACTGAGTCCTTTGGGAACAGACGTGGGCCCCTCACAGCAGCTCTCCAGACAGCCCTGAGGGAAGGGAGGGGCTGACCCACAACCCCGGGTGACAGGGCCTTCTACATGCTGTTGCTGGGCCAAGTGCGCTACACTCCTTGTTGCAGGTGGGTATGTGTCCCACTATTGCCCCACTTCACAGATGAGAAAACAAAAGACCAGGAAGGAGGGAGCTCTTGCTCTCGGGCTTTCTGGTTACCTGACCCCAATGCTGGAGCTGTCACCACTCACACACACACACACACACACACACACACACACACACACACACACACACAGCTGGCTCAGAGCCTGCTCTGCCCTGAGCTCCCTCATACGAACAAAGCAGGGACACTGCCAGTGAAAGCCACAGTGAAGCAGGTCAGCATGAGTCACTGTTACTTCACCTAAACCTGGGGGTCTCATTCACCAACAGTCTCTGTCCCTGGCTCTGCTGAATCTTCACTGTGGGACCTGAAGCTCCTTCCTCTCGCTCCTTCCGTGACCTCCGCCAACTGCGAAACCTCATCTGCCGCCCTGCCTGCGACTGTGGGTCCTGAGCCTCCCCAGTGCTGACTCTCACCCGGCCCTGCCCCACTGAGCGTGTCCTGTCCCAGCCCCTCAGTTTCATCTCTGTGGTGTGGCCACTGCTCCTCGCACCTCTCAGCCTCCCCCAGATATCTGGGACAGCAGCAGCCTGCGATGCCCCCAGCTTACGGGAACAGCGCTCCCCACTGGACTTCAGCTAAGAATCGGCAGTCACACCTCTCCCAGCACACACATCATCTTCAACACAGCGGGAACTTCTTTTGACACATCCCCATTCACTATACTTTCCACAAAGCAGCACGGAACCCTGAGAAAGGCTGCACATCAAGCAAGTCTGTCTACAGTTTTATGCTGTAGCAAAATTACTCATGCCTACAGGTCACAGCCTACGGGACAGCCCGCCAGTGCGACCGACCCCAGGGTTCCTAGTTGGGCCCCACCTCCACCCCAGCACTCTGCCCAGGGCTCAGCCTCCAGCTGCGCCCGGATGCAGCATAGCCAGGATACGTGAAATAAACTCACGGGGCCCTTGCTGCAAGAGTAGTAAGAAAGTCAGGAGTGTGACACGGGGCACTGCCCCAAGCAATGGCCTCAATATGACCTCACGCTCGCCTGTCACACTGCCTAGGCCAGTGGTGGCGAACCTATGCCACATGTGCCACAGTAGGCTGTTTGTATTATTGAAAACTCTGAAAGGTTTGCCATCGCTGGAGATGCACCATTTACTGTGGAAACCTTTAAACAGCAGCATGCACCGGAATGTTTTCTTAATTGCTCTAAAACTTGCCATACCTTCTCTTTTCACCCTTCAACCAGAAGCCACAGACAGGGAATCAAAGTATAGTGTAAAAGTCTATTTTTTTGTGTTATTTAAACACATCTCCCATGACAGGCGTGGTGGTGCACGCCTGTAATCCCAGCACTCTGGAAGCTGAGGCAGGAGGATTGTTGAGAGTTCGAGACCAGCCTGGGCTACAAAGTGAGCCCAAGGCCAGCCTGAACTGCACAGTGAGACCTTGTCTCAAAAAAGACAAAAAAAAAAAAAGAACCACATCTCCCAAATTTTCTACCCTTGAATTATTTACAGCCCTTCCCAAATAGCCAATTAGGAAGACTGTGTCAACAGCACATTTTAACTTACAAATTGGTCATTTCATAGAGTGGTATTCAAAAAAAGTTCTCAGGCTTCACTGACATACTTTACCTGAAAATTTCCAGTGTCCACTCGATACTGGTACATTGGGTCATGTAATTCATTAACTCTGAAGAATGATATTAAAAATTATACATTAGTAATGAGCTGTACTTTTTACTTTACACTTTTCTCACTTGGCTTTTAAAACACTGTTAAACTACTTGCTACAACAGTGAAGAATTTTTTGTAAAAAACTGTAAATTTGTGAAAAATCCCAAATTTCATATTTCACATTGAAAAAGCACCCAATACTACTAATCACCCACGTTCATTAGCACAGTCCAGCTGCAGTACTTTTTATTTATTTATTTATTTTTTTTTTTGGTTTTTTTCTCCGGTACCGGGAACCGAACTCATGACCTTGCGCTTCCCAGGCAAGCGCTTTGCCACTGAGCTAAATCCCCAGCCCCTGCAGTACTTTTTATTACAAAAGTCTCCTTGCTCGTGCAAATGTAAGAGCTATTTCTGAGGGCACACCCGGGTGCCATGAATGAAGTAAGGACACAAAGAAAGCAAAGGAGGGAAATGTCTACCTCTAGGAGATTAATTTTCAAGAAGAAAACAGGCAGCTAAGCTGCCAGGGAAGCAGGGGCCCGAAGTGGAGCAGGCGGGGTGAAGTCCGACTGCCGCATGAGCCACGGTGGCCACAAAGCCACACCCTGACTGGAAACTACTTGAAAACAGTCCTGCCTGGGTCTCAGGCAATGACCCAGGCTTCTGCCGTGGCACCACTTACAGGACAATGATACGAAAGGACGAAGCCGGGGCCTAGAACGTTCGAAGAGGTAAGGAAGAGGCTGGGGAGGACCCACACCTGCTGGACAGTGGAGAGCCGAGCCCAGCATCATCCCGATACCACGGCTTTATCTTTAAAGGAGAAACCTAACCTGACACGGAGCTTTCATCTTCTGTCCCAGACTACTAGAATAGTGCATTCTCAGCCAGCCACTATAGCAGAACCAAATCCCTCAGGCTCAGTCACCCAGCCACATTTGAAATTCAGGGAAACCAGCCTTTCCGGGTAAGATCACAAGGCCGTGTCAGGTCTGGTCTGCTCAGCTCTGTCACCACTTTTCAGGACTGACCCTTCACACCAAACACAATTACTCACGTTTGCCATATTCCTAGAGTAACAGAAGCCAGCCACAAGAGTCCAACAATGAAGAATTTAGGCAAATAGAAAGTTAAACATTTTCTTTCTCCCTAAAAAAAGGCAAAAAAGAGAAAAGACAAAGTTAGTAGTTCTGGCAAAACAACACTAACAACCCCGACAAAGCCTTTCTACACAGTGTACGTCCTGCTGTCTACCAGTACGAGGCCAGGGAGGCTTTCACTGTGCCGCTTATCCTGCAGGGTCTCCACCGGAATTTGGGAAGGCGGGGCTGGCTGATGGCCTACCTGGACCCGTATCCCATGGTACACACACAGCCAGAAGAGCAGCAAGGCACACAGGAACACCGACTGGAAGAGATCGTCCAGCATCCCTGGGAACCAGCTGTTCACCAGGAAGGAGAGGGGGAAGAACGGGTCTGGAAAGCAAAAGACAGAAACGCTGAGGAGACCAACACAGGCTGCAACACACACAGTCCAGGCTCTTCGAGGTCAGGCTGGCGTTTCTCCAGTCACAGCCAAAGGAAAGGCAGTGAACCAAAAGCTATTTTTGCTTTCTGTCTTTTGTCTGCTGTATGGGGGACTAACCCCTCTGCACTGAGCTATCTCCCCAGTCCTTTTTATTTTTTTAATTTTGAGACAGGGTCTTACTAAGTCACTAAGTTGCCCAGGCTGGGCTCAAGCCGGAGATCCTCTTGCCTCAGCCTCCCAGAGTACTGGGATTAAAGACATATGCCACCATGCCCAGCTGCTATTTTGTTTTCAAAATGCCTAAAAGCCACAGAACAGATTGCTGCGGTGATCACAACAGAGAGCCGTCTGCCCCTGCATCAGCTCCTCCCACAGGCCTGGGAATTCCGAGGAAGCAAATGCTTTCTGGAGCAATCGCATGGGTATCCTCAGCCAAGTTCCAGGCCTGCTGTGTCTGTGGCTGTGTGTTAAAGATCTGAGCATCTGCCGTGGCCTGTGCGAAACGGCACCTGGGAAGCAGCAGTGTGCCACTACACACTCCGCCAGGGTCTCCCACAGGCTCCTCCCTCCGGGACGCTGGGACCAGGCCACTTCCAGGATGCCTGCCAGCTCCCAGTCTGAAAGGGGAGAGTGCCAGGGTAAAAATGGCTCCTACCGTTGTACAGCAGCAGCAGTGGCAGGAGGACAGACATCCACTTCTGCTCGATGCCCCAGTCTCTCATGGAGAACTTGCGCAGGGAATGTGCAAACAGGCACTGCAGACAAACAGACGCTAGTGACTGCTCATGCCTGCCTCCCCATAGGGTAGGGCCCTCACCCCACAGTGGTATGCGGGCCAGGCCAGGGTCTGCTGGGTTAAGCCCTGCTCAACTGACCACTGAGGTCCCAGGGAGCATCAGGGACAACTGAGTCAAGAGAGGAAGCAGCTGCATGGGGACCACAGGTGTTCTCACAGGGGCGAGGAGGAAGAGGAGGAACAGAGTGGCTGTAAATTCTCTGCAAATGGAAGGAGCACCCACAGTCTCACTTCCCCCTGGGCAGGCTGCTTCTCAGACTCGCTCTCAGATGACAGCGCACAGGTCCCCAGGCACAGGCACATCTGTGGGCCCCACCAAGAGGTCATGTGTTCCGACAGGGCAGCTTCTACAGACGGCATCCTGCAGACGGTGGGAGGCCCTGGGAAGAGTGTCCTTAAGCCATTTTAAATTGGTATTTAATCTGTGATGATCAGGCTTGGAGCTTTTTATTCTTCTATAACCTGACCTAATCTGATAATTTTCTAGGCAACCTGGGTTTCCTGGTCATTTCCACACACCAGGTTATCTGGTAAGGGTCAGGCCTATTTCTCCCTTTCACGAACATACAGGGCTTCGAATGCCAGTCTTTGGACCCCAGCAGAATCTCAGGCACCAGGTAGCCCTCAAGAAACAGGGAGGATTTCAGACCAGTCGGATAAGATGACAGCACCCACTTCACTGGTGAGGTTCTCTGGGAGACACAAGCACTACAGGTCCCAGCTCCCAGCCAACGGTGGGGCCTATGCCCCACTTCTAGCCACCCTGCCCACATGCACACCACATGCCTGTGTCCTGCTCTACTGAGTCTGCAAAGTACATGTTCCTTAGGTGGCAGCTGGAGGGGCCACCACTGTAAGGAGTGGACATATTTCCTAAATGTCACAGCCTCTGCGTCAGCACTTGGGGAACAGCTGATGAGGACAGAATGCTATCCTTCAGATAGGGTTTTGCCACTAAACACAGCACAGTGACTGTCTCTAACTCACAAATCCTTATCTCCACCCACTGGCTCGGTGGGGCGCCCTTGTTCCTAAGGGCGAGGCATTTTCCCACAGTTAATATGCCTATGGGCACAAACCGTGGCCAACAGAGCCCAAAGCGTGCATCTCCAAACCACTCTTCTGTAGCCTCACTACTGACAAGCTAAAACTTCCTGCACAATTCTCAGATATAAAAAGCTGCACCTGTACATGGAGAAAGTCGTTCAGGTAAGGCAGAACCTCTTCCACACAGGTTCAGTGGCATGGTCACTGCACACTGATGAACGTTTACACAAAAGGCAGTGATCTGCCATGATTCTTTTGCTGCACAGAAATCCTAATTAAACAACTGAACATCACTCCTCTGTGCACACGGCATCTTGGCTGCCCCGCCACACAGAATGGTTAGTACCGGCCGGCTGCAGATCTTAGGGCTGGATAACCCTCGGGGTAGCTTGCTCGCTGTGGATCCTAACTGCGCAGACCAGCCCTGTCTCAGCTAGGACTTGGCTGCCATCCACCCGGCGAGCGGTACTCACAGTGACGATGAAGGTGAGCACCACAAAGACAAAGCGGAACCAAATTTCCAACTGGGAAAACGCCGGGTTGTATGTCTTCCACTGAAATGGAAAGTCAGGGAAACAACGTAAATGTTTTTAAAAAACAGCAGCTAAGAGGAAACACACTAAACCACTAATAACAGTTCCCTCCAAATGTGAGGCTTTAGGTCATTTTAATTTTTTTATGGGGGACAGGGTCTCACTATGTAATTCAGACTGGCCTTGAGCTCATGAGCCCAGGCTGGCCTCAAATATGCAGTAATCATCCTGCCTCAGCCTCCTGAATGTTGGGATTACAGGCACCTGGCTCAGAAATTGTAAATTTTAAATGCTTTTTCTTTATACTTTCCTACATGTTGCAAAAATGTAACACTTAGTACTTTTTTTTCCAATAGTGGGGACTGAGCCCAGAATCTCTGCACTGAACTACATCCTTGACCCACTTTTTTTAATTTTTAATTTGAGATGCAGTCTCACTAAGTTGCCCAGGCTGGGCTTGAACGTGCAGTACTCTCATCTCAGCCTCCCCAACTGCTGGGATTACAGCTTTGCCTCCACACTTGACCTTTTTATTTTTATATTAGAGAACAGAGATAACCAAGAACTGGAAACTGAGGAATCTGGTAGACAGTCTGCAATCATAATAAGAGCATTTGGGTTTTAAATCTCCTACCAAAAACTAACCTTATCAATCTCTATTAGAAAAAGGCCACACTTTTATTTAAAAAAAAAAAAAAAAAAAAAAAACGGTTTTTGTAAGATGCAAATGTGTGAGCAGAATTTGTTATGTAAGTTTAAGCAAAGCATGTAAATATGAAGCTGAAACCAGGAAAGTAAACCACAATTACACTTGTCAGTGCTGCTGACTGGGCAGGTCCTTGCTGCTTGCATGAGCCAAGGGTGCAGGTGCCACCTACGTGCCCATGGCAGGGCAAAAACCAGGAGGCCCTTCAGTCCAGGTCACAAGCCAGACCCCAAATATGTACTGTACAGTGCACACGAGGCCATTATTTTCATGCATTGAGTTAAAGTCATCTAAGCAATTTTATTTTATTTTATTTTTTTGGTTTTTCTCTGGTACTGGGAATCAAACTCACGACCTTGCGCTTGCCAGGCAGGCTCTGTGCCGCTGAGCTAAATCCCCAGCCCCTAAGTAATTTTAATAATCCACTTCAAAGAAGGTAGGAGTCACAGAGATGTACCTAAAACATTAAAATGTGCACACACGCGCACACACACACACACACACACACACACAATCTGTATGTGAACAGTTTAAGACACAGGACTTTAGAAGGCAATGAAGAGAGGTAACATCTGGCTGACAGAATGACAGTGTCCCTCAGATGTTCTCCGTCATCGGGAAGCCCACGCAGAGCCACATGGTCTGCCTGAGTTATGGGCACATACATGGGAGCCCGAGGGGCAGAGGAGCCAGACTCCACAGGACTGAGTGCTGGCAAGGAAGGCTCCTCAACTCAGCCAAGGGCAGCCCCTACCCCACCTCCATCCAGGGCACAGGAGTGAGCAGCCACCCGGGGCAAGGACAAACCTCCCACAGAGTCTGTGCCTGGCTCCCACAGGGCCAGTAATGCCATCTGTTTCCACGAGAGTGAATTCACATTCTCAGTACATCAGAGAGCATGCACTTCTCCCGCCGTGGTGGGAAAGTCAGACTCAAACTTAGTGCTGCTTTGGTCCCACCCAGCAGTTTAAAATTAAGGTCTGAAAAGATCTAAGCATTTCTGCAGGACAGACAACATCCCAGAACAAAGCTTAAGAACACTTGCGAGAAAATGAGACCTAGCAACTACCAACATCTGCACTGAATCAAAACTACCAGATGTGGGGCAGGGGGTAAGATCAGTGGTAAAGCACTTGTCTTGCATTTTCCAGGCTCGGAGTTCAATCCCTAGCACTGCACTTTATTTTTTTATTTT